TTCTCTTCTATCCTTCTGGTCAAAGGAAAGGACCTGGGCAGGAGCAGGTGCACCCTGCAGACCAATGCCTGGCTGTTCAGGTAGTGTCGCCAGCACAGCTTTGGCTTCTTTGACCACAGGATGATGTTCCAAGAAGGATTGCTGGACAGAGATGTGATCCACCTGATGAAGAGATGGAAGAGCATCTTCACAGACAGGCTTGCTAACATAGTGAGGAAGGCTTTAAAACTAGGTTTGCCAGGGGGATGGAGACCAAAGCCCTGAGGTAAGTGGGAAAGTGGGGGACCTGGAGGAAGAGCAAGCAGGAGGGGACAACAAGGGAAGTGCTCTCATTCTTCCAGAGAAATCAGGGCACTCAGCTAGTTACTACAAGGTGCCTGTACACAAATGCATGGAACCTGAAAAACAAGCAGGAAGAATTGGAAGTCCTTATACAGTCACAGAACTATGACAGGACTGGAATAAGAGAGACTTGGTAGGATAGCTCGCATGACTGGAGCACTGTTGTTGATGGGTACAAATTGTTCAGGAAGGATAAGGGAGAAGAGGAGGAGGAGTTGCACTTTATGTAAAAGAGCCATATGATTGCTCAGAGCTCCAGTATGAAACTAGAAATAGGCCTATCAGAAATCATGGAGCTGATCCTCAAGGAATCCATTTATAAGCACTTGGAGAAGAAGCTGATTAGGAACAGTCAGGATTCACCATGGACAAGTCATGCCTGACCAACCCGATTGCTTTCTATAATGAGACGACTGGCTCTGTGGATGCAGGAAGACTGGTGGATGTGATGTACCTTGATTTTAGTAAGGCTTTTGATATGGTCTCCCACAACATTCTCACAGGCAAGCTAAGAAAGTACAGAATGGATCAGTGGACTGTAAGGTAGACAGAAGACAAGCTGGAGTGTTGGGCTCAGAAGGTAGTAATCAGTGGCTCAATGTCTAGATGGCAGCCGGTATCAAGGGGAGTGCCTCAGGGGTCAGCCCTGGGTCTGTTTTTGTTCAATATCTTCATCAACAACCTGGAAGATGGCAGAGCGCACCCTCAGCAACTCTGAGGATGAAACCAAGCTGAGGGGAGTGGTAGATACGCTGGACAGTAGGGCTACAATTCAGAGTGACCTAGACAAATTGGAGGATTAACCTCATGAGATTCATTTTGGTCCAAACAAGGACAAGTGCAAAGTGCTGTAATTAAGACAGAAGAATCCTATACACTGGTACTGGCTGGGAGCTGAGTGACTGGGCAGCAGCTCTGCAGAAAAGGACCTGGGGTTACAGTGGACAATAAGCTGAATATGAGCTAACGGTGCACCCTTGCTGCAAAGAAGGCTAATGGCATATTGGGCTGCATTGGTACGAGTGTTGCCAGCAGATCAAGGGAAGTGATTCTTCCCCTCTATACAGCACTGGTGAGGCCACATCTGGAGTACTATATTTATTTTTTGGAACCCCACTACAGAAAGGATGTGGATGAATTGGAGAGAGTCCAGCGGAGGGCAACAAAAATGGTGAAAGGGCTGGAGGACATGACTTATGAGAAAAGGCTGGGGAAACTGGACTTCTTTGGTCTGCCGAAGAGAAGACTGAGAGGGGAGTTAATAGCAACTTTCAACTACCTGAAGAGGGGTTCCAAAGAAGATGGAGCTAAACTGTTCTCAGTGGTGACAGATGACAGAACAAGGAGCAATGGTCTCAAGTTACAGCAAGGGAAGCTTAGGCTAGATATTAGATTTTCTCACTAGGAGGGTAATAAAGCACTGGAACAGGTTACCCAGAGAGGTGGTGGAATCTCCATCCTTGGAGGTTTTTAAGATCCAGCTAGACAAAGCTTTGATGACCTCCTGAGTTTCCTTCCAACCTCAATGTTCTATGATTCTATGCAGGCTCTCCAGGTTAGTAAACTTTCTTGTTTCACACTTCTTTCTTAAGCACTGCCTGTCTTCCCTGGTTATATATTCTGGGTCGAGTTCTGGACTACCTGAATTCTCATAAAAATGTTTGAGCAAAAATATAGTTGTTACTTTATGATACTATCACATTTGTAATGCCGGTGTGATATAAAATAATGGCTGACATAGGAAGATTTTCCTTAAACAGTTTCACTTCTAAAGTAGCACTGAGTGCAATGAGTAATACTAAATGAGCAGTACTGTAATGACTGCATTGACTTCTTTTGTTTAGGAGAATCCTTCTTCAACACCATGACTGTCTACAGAGCTATCTGCTAATTATACCAGTGTTCCAGTCAAATTTGTCACATAGTATAGCATCTGTAGCAAAAAGAACAAAAAAAAAATCCATCATTCAGAAACAACCATAGATAAATCTGTAATAAGAACCAAAAGATTACAGCAAGAACTAATTGATGAAAACAGTGCTTGGTTTATGCAACATACTCTCCTTTCTATATGGTTGAGAACACATACTTCATTGGCATGGTTCAGTCATTACAACCAAGATTCAATCCACCCAACAGATATACCACGCACATCGCTGGATGAAGTGTATGAGAAAGAAATTCAACAGTGTGCAAAAAGTCTAGAGGGGAACATTGTTAACCTGAGTCTTGATGGGTGGAGTACAATGTTCACAATGATCCAGTTATATGTGCTTGTATGACAACGGAAGAAGTTCTGTTCTACCTTACAGAAACAATCAATACATCAGGAAATGCACACATGGCAGAATACTTACAAGAAGTAGCAGTAAAAGCTATTACAAACTGTAAAAAAAATATTCAAATGTCTAGTCCACAGCTTTGCCACAGACAATGCTGCAAATGCTATCAAAGATGAGAGCAAAGCTAGAAGAAAGTGAAGGAAGCCCCAAGCTAATAACATATGGCTGCAGCACTCATTTGATACATCTCTTAACCAAAGACCTCATGGCTCCAGAAATAAAGGCTGATGAAATTGAAAAATACTTCCCTAACACTTTGCTGCAGCTGCTCTGAAGAAAGCAGAAGGAACAAAACTAACTCCCACAAGACGTGCAATGGAACTCAGTAGTGGACTGTTTGAGTGATATATTGAGAACTGGCCTAATCTGATAACAACTTGTGAACAAAATTGTTGCAAAACAGATGGAACTGTCATAGCCAAAGTTCTCAACATTGTTCTACATTTCTCTAGCCCAAACGCTTCTGAAGCGTATTTCTGTAGTCTTGAACAGAGTGCAGGGAAATCACTTTTTTATTGCTGACTGTTGAAATTTAGAAGGAACTGAGTGAGATCTTGAAAAGAGAAATAAGCAATGACAGAGTTAAATTAAAGGCATTAAAAAAAACAGTTCAACCGCTATCTCCAGCTCATTTTCTTGCCAATATTTCCAATACTTGGTACCAGGGTCAATCCTTAACTGCTGAAGAGGAGTTGACTATGACATGGGCATCCAGCAAGTATCCCTCTATAATAATAACTATAATAAATGTTAGGGCTAAGGGTGAACCATTCAGAGAAATATATGTTTGCTGATGAAGTTTTAAAGGAAGTCACACCAGTGAACTGGTGGAAGTCACTTAAGCATCTGGATCCATCAGAGACTACTGAAGTGATAATCCAGCTTTTAACAGCAGTAGCTTCTTCTGCAGGTATAGAAAGAAGATTTTTTTTTTCCTTTGGACTAATTCATTCTAAATTGAGAAATCACTTGGGAGCTGAAAAAAGCAAGGAAGCTTGTCTTCCTTTTCCAGTCTATGAATAAACAGGAAGAGGAAGGTAAAGACTGAGTTTTCTGCATAACCCAGTATTTTAAGTTTCTCATGTTGACCTGGCTGAAATAATCTTTAAAAAATAAAGATAAAAAAATAAAACCACATTTCTCAGTTATAACTAAAATAGTTAAAAAATTTAAAAAATATATATGCTTGTTTTGTTATAATAATTATACATGTTTCTTAAAGAAAAAGTATCCAAAATACATAAGCTTGTTGTTTTAGTTAAATAAAACCATTTAAATGTCTGTTGTTTTTGGTGATGGTTATTGTCATCCTCCTAATACAGCATGGCAAAAATATCCATGATTAATCTAGCGAATTGGAGATAGTTCACCTCCCAATGACTTCACAAGTATCTGCTTCAATTAGCTTTGGTAAATAAAATAACCAAATCATAATTCAGTTTCCTGCTGTAGCTGCAAAATTAACCTGAAAAAATATGAAAATAAATCACTGCTTTAAAATATATAGTGTGTATCCTCTAAAAATAAAACACACATCTATCTCCGAGTTGTCGATAATGTGTGTTAAGGTTATATCACACAACAAAAACGCACTTTTTATAGAAAACAGTAATTATATTGAGGCTTCCTGACCAGTGATTTAAATCTATTCAAGTCAAATCCACCCTAGCACCAGCTACTGCACATTTAGGCAGTACCTCATATTAGAGGTACTAAACTTAATGCGCAGTAACAATGGTACATTAATGCACATGCAGTCACACCCTGCAATACCCAAAGTCAGCTGAGAGCAACCACATGCAAATACCATGTGTCCACTAAGTTTGTTTGGGAAAATACATAGAAGGTCACTGTTGGTAGTCACACCTCAGCTCTAGAACTCTCTCTCCCCTAAGGCTTGTCAGAGTCCAAGCCTGTACAACTTCAGGAAACATAAAACCTTTTTTATTTGGGCAGGTGGAGTTAAGTTTTGGAATACTACTTGTTCCAAATTTGTTGTTTGTTATTACATACTATTATATTTTATCTGTTTTTATCATTTATTTTGTTTTTTTAATAGTAAACTGCCTGAGCCTGTTCTGGGTAGGCAGCATATAAATCTATTATATAAATAAAATTGTGTGCCTCTTATATTCAAATTAAACACTACAGGAAAAAAACATACATCATTTTACTTCAAAATAAATCTACCTGACAAAACAGTTAATATAGTTTTGGAGACCAGTGGACTATCAGATTATATGTATATCTGTTTATTCTTGTGAATTATTTAGAGTGGCTAAGTATCTGGTTGCTAAATATACAACACTTGCTTACACTGAACGTGGAATCAGGATCCGATAGAGACATTGTTAGATGTTTCCGTAAATTAGGCCAACTCTCAGAATTTAGTATATCAGATGGAGGGGCAGAGCACAATGTCTGCAATGCTTCCTGACGCACCTGAAACAATAAAGAAACAAACATCAAAATCCCTTCAACTACATCTTTAAAATAAAATACACACACACACACACGCACGCACGCACGCACGCCTTGGCTAGGAGAAAGATAAAACAGGAATTCCACAAATCAACTCTGCTTTTATATTAAGGTGATTTGAATTATTACCAATGACGATAACACAAAAGTAGACATGCTGAAAAATGTCAAACCAATTAAAATTGAAATACCTGCTCTCAATTATATTGAATTCCAGTTTCTATTTTGATCTCCCAACTAAATATTTAGTTACCAAATACAGAATATTTATACTAGATAAAAATGAAACTGCTTTACTCTATTATTCAAATGATACCATCTGGGCTATGAGTAGAGCCAAAGCCCCCCTCCTTTTCCCCCCCCCCCCCCCCCACCAAAAACCCGCCAAAATAATGAAAACCAACATGCAGTGAATAGTACAAAACAGTTTGCTGTCAGACACCTTTTAAAGTTTTATTGCTACACTTCCATGTGCTTTATAGCCATAATATCCTCCGAAACCTATTTCAAATAATAACGTTATTGTAGGTAGTGTCTTTTTGTACACGTCTACTCTGGACACTTGCTTCATCTTACAAATACAAACTAAAGAAAGTTTACAGCAAAATGTATGTTGCTATTAATATTGCTAAAATATTGAAAGGAGATTATTTAGCAGCAAACAGACAACATGGAAATACTGAGAATGAAAACTTGCTCCAGCCCCATTTTACCATTCATTACAATGAAGACAGTATATATTGATAAACATTATGGGCTAAATCTTATACTCTCAAATATGGTATGCCATACATTTTCATTTATATTAATTACATCTTACTTCTTTATTTCTCACCTCAATAGGCTGAGCAGGGTCAAGCCTTTCTACAAGTAGCTGTAACTGCTCTTGATTCATGAAAGTATAGCTCTGTAAAACAGATTGTACAGTGTTCATCAGTAAATCCTATTCATATGCACAAATAAAAGTTAAAACTAGCAATCTTTTTTTATCAAATTTACTTTCAAATAATTAGAACATTAACATTTATTCTAATCCAATATTTAAAATTGAAAATTTAAATACCAAAGACTCAAACAACTTTTCCTCTGGCAAGAAGTTTGGATCATCTTTATTCTGCTCATGTATTATGCATCTTTATTCTGCTTATGTAAATAGTTCATTATATCAGTACACAATACTAGATAGCATCATGTTTAGCAATTAAAACAACGCTACTATTTTTCTGGAAAAAACTTGTATAGGGCTTCAAATGTTTTTATTTAAATATTTTTATTTTTCTCTAATGTTACTTAGACATGCACTGTTCCTTGTATATATTCCATTCATGTACATAAAATAAAAGAATGGCATATGTACAGCAGTATTTTTCATGATTAAGGAAACAGACCAGCTGAATTATCCATATAGTGCAACATAATACATCTACAAAATCAAAGCTCTCTTTTTCTCGAAGTGTTAAGGACCTCCTTTCCAACTGTTCATCTGAGAAGAAACATCAAACTTAAAAAGAACTGCTTTAAGATTGAGAATCTGGGAGAGTATCCAGCCTAAAGGATCTTTTGAAAAAAATTATAAACAATTAAAAATGGAATACTTACAAGCAATTAAAAATATAATGAAATACCAACTGAGCAGTTCTTGTTTCATTGCCCGCTAAAATAAGAATCAGACTTTTTTAAAAGGTATAAGTTTAATATTAATGTCCCAAAGATAGCACAGAACTCATCATACCTGATTAAATGAAGAGTCACTATCAGAGCAGTTGTCTGTATAATAACCAGTAGGTTGCTCTTTCTTGGTTTTGCTATGCATCTCCTTATTTCGCATCTGATCTTCTTCAAATTTGTTAATCAGAGATTCTACCACTACCATCATAACATTCTTCAAAGAATGTATCATTTCTCTGTACCTTCAAAGTCAAGGCAATGTTAGGATAAACAGTACAAAAATCACTAACTGAATTATAAATAATTGAATAAGCCAAGCCATTACATATACATTTCACTGAATTTACTGAGCAAATAGAAAAGCCTGTGCAATAAATACAAAATACTATATCACAAGTAGAATGAGTATGCAAACTTAAAAAAAATACAGAGAAGAGCACACACCAACTGCTGCAACTTCCTCAGCCTGACGAAGGGTTTTTGAACCCAAAAGCTTGCTTAATTTCCCCCCCCCCCCCCAAGAAAAATAAGCATACCAGAGAATAAAACAAGAAACAAACTAATTCAGGTGGTGGCAGCAGCTAAGAGTGCAAATTATTTTGTCTCTTGTTTTATTCTCTTGTATGCTCCCTTATTTTATAAGTTATTTTGTTCTCTTTATCCAAGCTACCTTGAGTCTCTGATTAGGAGGGCAATATACAAATCTGACAAGTAAAATAAATAATAATATATACATAAATTCAGAAATTGAAATGCGATTTGAAATCCATAGTCCAAGATCCTGACAGAAAATGTTAAAGTTACAAAATGAAGTGTTTCTGAAATTATAATTTTTATTACAAATTCTTTTCTTCATGCTTTTTTTTGTCAAAATAGATATAGTTCTATAAAAACTGGCCTTGAAACATTTTTTTTTCAAGTAAAAAAAAAAGTTTTGATGATAAATTCATGGCTGGCTCTAATAAAGACCGCAAATCCAAAGTATACTTCATATCAGGGCTGTCCAACCTATAAGCTGCCGTGGCTGCATGCTGCATTTGCCACAGGGCCACACTAGCTTGAGCCATGGTCCCTGGTGCTCCCCTTCTTCAGTGTCCACCCACCCCATCTGACTCCGCAGTGACCTCCCTGCCATACTGTAATACACATAGTGCTGGGAGCAGCCTGGGCTCCGTCACTGGCAGCAGCTACCCAGAGCCGGGGCTGGCCATGGTGTGCCAAGCAAAATGGCCTCACGTGCCATGCATGCCGGGGGTTGCTGACCCGTTATATAATATCAAAATACATTTTGAATATATAATGAGATACTAGTGTAATGATTAATTATTTTTTTTAATTAAACCATTTCAACCATATTATGTCCCATTATATGCTACTGTTGCCCATGATAATTTAGAACATTTCCAAGGGAATTTAAGTTTTAAGTTTAAATTAAATTATTTATACACTATAAGTTTTTAGTGAAACTAAAGTGTTAGGCTGAACAAGAAGCCTAGGCCTAAAACTGTGGAAACAAGAGCGTTATGGTTTTAAGAATTAATTTTTGGACTAGGGACAGACATTCAAGAAGCCAGAGCCTGAATTAATTCAACTGCTGCGGGTTAGTCTAACCTAGCTAGGCTGAACCAGTTTGTAACAGGACAAACATGCTCTCTGGACTGAGGAACTGTGACCACGTCTGCAGCTACTCAGACCAGGAGCCGGGGGGACATTAGAGCACGCTGTCGGCTGCTCTTGTATGCTTGTGCTGGAGGGAGCATGGCCAGTCCGGGCTGAACTGATCAGAGAGAGTTTTAATTCCTCCCCTCGCTGCTGCATCATCAGGGCCAGAGATGGGCCAGCATGGCCCCCAAGGCAGGGGTGGGGCAGGGAGGAGGGTTAGTCTCCCCTCTACCCGCACTGGCAGCCAGGTCTGCCCACCATTGCTGCCACGCTCACTCCCTGTGGCAAATAAGCCCCCTGCTGTCACCTTAGCCCTACACTGGAGGAAGGGGGAATAACCTCCATCCCTGCCCCTCCCCCCCCCCCCGACGCGAGCGGGTGGGGTGTTGTGGGGGGGGGGGGGGGGGCAAGGAGAGAAGTTATCCCCCCTCCCTCCAGCATCCAGTGGAGGGGACAGCAGGGGACTTATTCTGCTGCAGGGAGTGAGTGTAGAGGCAACAGTGGGCAGGCCCAGCTCCAATGGGGGTAAAGAGAAGACTAACCCTCCTCCTTGACTTCCTATGCCTCAGGGACCATGGTGTTCAGCTGCTGTACCAGTGAGGGGGGAGCACCTGGCAGACCCAGCTCAGGTCCCTGTGGGTGGCACAGGGGAACGGGTGCAGGAAATTAAACCCCTCTTTGGCCAGACCCCCAACCCTGCCTGTCCCTGCTCCAGCTGGGGAGCAGAGGGGCAGGGCCAGGAGCAGAGAGTTCAGCCCAGAGAGCATGCCAGGATGCTGGGGGACTCTGGTTTAAGTTAAATCAGGAAGGGGTCTGGGACAGACATTGCATAATTGATTTGGCTCAAACCAGTTTAAGTCTGATACTACATTCAACCAGGTTTATCTCAAACTGGTTTCGCACATTTTGAAACTGGTTTATGTGCACTGAATATCTATTCTGTTACAGGTTTAAAAGACCTACTGATCACTTAAACCAGTGTGTGTGTAATATCTGTCCCTAGCTTTGGTGTCCTTGATAAAAACAAAGGCAAAAACAAACATAGACAAGGACACTTTACATATAAAATTGCTCCCCCCACCTTTTTATGATTGACAGATTTAATATAGTAGGCCACATAGCATACAGGGATAGAATTATATAAAAATGCTTGAACATTTGGCAGCGGAGGAGTGGTGGCAGTGTTGTCACTGGTCCCCACCACCAAATTTCCAGACCCAGGAGGAGACCCACAGGCTGGATTACACAGCTCTGCAGGCCATATCTGGCCTGCGGGCCAGGGGTGGATCACCCCTACCTTATATGGCTGAAAAAAAAGATAGAAAAAACATTCAATTCAGTGAGACCTTTCGACCGATTTTCATGAATCTAGCCTTAAAGCTATCTTTCAAACAAATATGCCTGAATTATGTGGCACAAGCAGTCCTGGTATATTCAAAAGCTTACCTTGCAGATTACTGTGCTTAGTTAGTGAAAGAAGAATCTGTAGTTCCTAAGGGTAGAATTTTATTTCACTATATATAACCAAACAGCAGTTAACAAGCCATGTAAGTGCCATTTTTCAATCTTACCCCATGCATGGTATTCATGCACAAAGAATTTCATTCTTTGTGTTCATGCATAAATATTCATGTGATTATTAAGTATGGTCAGTAAACTGTTCACTGACTGGACAGGTAAACAGCTCCACACAAGTATGCTGGGTGACAGTAAATCAGGAAATTATATTGAGCAAAAACTCATAACAAGGTGTTAGATGCAGGACAAGAAGATGAGGCAGTCCCCCCTGCAGACTGAAGGTATGCCACTGCATCTTGTATTGCATATTAACTGGATAAAATGGATACAGAACAGTGACAAGGTTTCTGCACCCCTCACAAGAGTCCTGATTAGAACCCAGACCCTACTCTCTTAGAGAGCAATTTCGGTCTCACTGAGCCACACCCCCTCAAATTTGTTCTCTCCTTTTAGCCCTTTTAGTTACCCCTCTTAGCTGCCCAGTATGCAGCTGTTTTAGTTACCCCTCTTAGCTGCCCAGGTTGCAGATTAGGCATGATCTAGTTCCCCCTCCAGCTATCCTTTTGAAGGTGCTACCTTAAAAAAAATAGCTGGAGGGGGAAACTAGATCATGCCTAATCTGCAACCTGATAGTCAGAGGACCATACTGGGAAGTCAGAGATACAGGTTAAAACCTCCTTTGGGTGAAGAGGATGGGAGGTAAAACCTAGGTCTCATTTCCCATGCGAGTGCTGTAACCATTAGGCAGGCTATTGGGGTAAAAACACTGGAGGTCTTTCATCTCCTCTGACTAACACCAACTAACACCGAGTTTTCGCCACACTGAATTTCATGACTTGTGTTCACCCAGGGTTAACACATACACAGCCACATACATGCCCAGCCAGAATGCAACTTACTGTGCATGCTTGGTAGTCCTGTGAATTATTACACATCCACACTGTCCATGAAGTAAGAGTGAAAACTGTCCACACATGCCAAAAACACCAGTTATCCAGCTGGCTAACTGCCACTTGGACACATGAAGTAAAATAGGATTTTGCCTTAAGTGTTAATGATGGAGTTATATATAAAAGGTGTTGTTGCTACATATTAAGCTTACGAACAACAACCTGACCCTAGTTAGATAACGAACTGATTTATGAAATGATCTTTATTATGCAATTACTGAATTTATCATAGAAGTATTATTTTAAAAATATAGTTAAAGGTCCTGGTTAAAGAATAGAATTTCCAGTATAAATCCCTATCCACTCAAAAATATACATGTACTCCTACCTCAAAGTATCCAGTAAGATAGGGAGGTGAGGAAAGAGAGGGTATAGTTATCTAAAAAGGGAGTCCAATAGTTTTGAGATCCCACTGAAAAGAAAGTAAGATCCAGACATAATATTATCAGGGTCTGAATTTTTTTAACTCAACGCTGGCAAATTGGGAGAGAGGCAAGATGTGCATGACATTATACAAACATGTTTCAAAACAGAATGTTTTGTTTCCTTCTAGATGTGAAACCTTTCGAAAACAAATATGTAAAAAACGAATTCTATAAACCCAGGAACATATTCTGATTGTTCTCAATTCCTGTTCAACTGACAGCTGAAAATGAAAACAAATGCCCCTGTTTTAAAAACAAGATTTTTTTTGTCAAACAGAGACCAAAATTAATTTTGTACTCTGCCGCAAATGTGAAAGCTTAAAAATAAGTTTATCCACAGCACATAGTATAAATACTTGTTAGTTTGATTACTAAAGAAAAACTGTGAAACAAACAAAAACATTTGCTTTTCTTTCCTTTATGCTGCACAAACAGGACCTCAATCTTTGAAAATAGCAGTGTTCTGCTCGTCAAAATTCAAATGTCAGATACTTGGTTCTCTCTTTGTTGGCTACCGTACATAATGATGCTGTAAACTGAGGCTGGAGACAGATGTCCTCTGGGGAGTGCAATTTGCTGTGCTGTGGTATGTTGTAGCATAGCTGAAACACTTCACAGATGTCTACAGACATCACAGGGCTGTTTTCTTGCACGGTCAGTCCCCTGCCCCTCCAGAGCTTCAGGGGCCCAAGCCTGCAGGAAAAGGACCATGGGTGCTGAGCCTCAACTTGAGGCACACATCTGCAGACATGCCCCCATATCAAGCATGGAAGAATCACCCACTTACACAGTGAATCCCAAGCTGCAGTACAGCAGCATGATAGGCATGCCAGGTCCCAGCTGCTTTTGTTCCAGCTGCGCTGCAGGATGGAGCACTGTGTGCAAGCGAAGGGGGGGGAGGTCAACCTGTATGAGAGTTCCCCCCTCCATGCCTGAATCTCCTGCAGGAAATACCCCTGCACCCTGGCATGGGCGGGAAGTTTCCCACTTGCAGATGCAGGCCCTGTGTTAGGGTGAGGCACCTGGGTCACTTTTCCCACATAATAAGGCCCCTGAGGTGAAGGAGTTCCTACCTGGGGTAGCTGGAGAATGCAGGCAGCCATGGGCTGATGGCACTCTCCTGTCGTAAGCAAACAGACATTGGCTGAAAAAAGGCAGCACAAATTATTACTAGGTTCACTGCCACCAACAAATTTAAGCACTTGTGATACATCAAAGGGCTATGATATCAGTTCCCCTGGCTTTTGTGGTGCCATAAATATTTTTATGGCAGGACATGTCTGTTTTGCAGTCTAAGACTTAGTATTCCCTCTCTCTTGATTTAGAGGTGGCAAGGAGGAAAGGTACTAGCTCAGTGAGTACTACCTCATTATTCAGAAAGCCTTCTATAACGTAAATATCTACATTCCTCAAAGGCATTACTAAGCCTTTCAGCAGAAAAAGAGAAATCAAGGAACTTATTCAAGATAAAAATAAGCAGGATAGGGGGGAGAGCGTAATTAGTATTTTTTTTCTTTTAACGAGAACATTGGAACCACTTTATATATCTGAAATAGTAATAATAATAATAATTAAAAAACAAACAAACACTTTCTTATACTTTGCAGTTCACTTTTCAAAAGAAAGAAATCATGATGGAGCAAGGATTCACGTCCTTACACCACCAGTAAATATTGGAACTACATGTATTGTGATGAAGTGTTTCTCAGTTTCAATACCCAAAGTAGGCAGGTTGTTTGAAATATCAAGAGCCACAAGAACTGAAATAGTTTATAACTCTGTACTGAAACATCTAGATAGAGATAAACTGTCTCTAACTTTGTTGCTATTTTGTCTGGGTTGATGCAGAAATGCCAAATACCAAAAGACACAGATTGAGATTGTAAAGTTCTACCATAGCTTCAGGAGTAACAATTTTGTATACTAAAAGCTATTCATATCACAACTCACTAACACTTTATTGAATAAAAACAGCTTTAATTCCACAAAAATTGGAAGCATGCAGGCTTATCAGCTTTTCTGTTTAAAAATCCCAAATTCTCCAATTTAAAACCCCAAACTGCATTTTTCCGCAATTGAAATGAAATGCATATATATATATATATATATATATAGTGTGTATGTATCAGTTGCACACAAAGTTTTATTGATATATTTACAGTTTTAAAACAATTTAGATGCATACCAATGCCTCAAACATTAAAATAAAATAAATTCTAAATACCTATAAATTTTGGCATTTGATTTTGGTCTTATGGAAGATCAGAGCTCCTCCTGCTCTCTTCACTCACCAGGATGCAGGTCCTGCTGCTGCTGTCCACCCCCGCTGCTTTGTGTCACTGAGCAGCCCTCATATGCTGGTGCCCTGTCCCTGCCCATGCTGTTTCCCCTCACCCCAAAGCCATACTGCAAGCCCTGCCAGTGCCCCTCATTCCCAACCCACAGGCCCCCAGCCCTACCAGTGCCCCTAACACCCGACTCACAGCCCTACTGGTGCCCCTCACTCCCAACCCACAGCCCCCTGGCCCTGCCAATGCCGCTCACTCCCAAACCACTGCCCCTCCCACCCAGAGTGTGTGGGGAATAGGGTGGGTGTGTGGAAAAGGGAGTGAGTGGGCACAGGTGACATGTGGGAAGAGGTGGGGGTAAGCAAGTCCCCCCCCCAGATTTCTGTGACCACACAGGGGGACAGGCTGCAGCCAGGCCAGACCAGTTCAAGGCAGTAGTCACCTCCATGGCTCAGTGCAAGACAGAGCACCACAGCACCATGGCTGCCAAGGTGAGGCACAGCAGCAAGAAGCTGTGCCCCAAATGCTACTGAGCAGGGTGGGGGCACCTCAGCTGGGTAGCCATGGTGGTGCAGCACCCTTCCCATGCTGGGCCCTGCCTGCTGGGCCACAGAGGTGGCTCCTTCCTGGAGCTGGTCTAGCCTGGCTGCAGACCCCTATCCAGCACCCCACTGTGGGCACAGTAAGCTGGGGGGTATGTGCCCCCCAGCCCACCATGTCACTCATGTCCCACCCCACCAGTCCCCATAGGACTTACCTGGAGGGAACTGAAGGAGATGCTCTGCACCACCTTGCCTGACTGCTACATGCGTGTGTGAACACAACTGGCTGCCTGCATCCTGCTCCCCTGCAGGCACCCCCCTCTCCTTTCATCCTGCTCCCCCCAGTCCCAAGCAGCCCGTTGAAAGCTGGAACTCTTCCAACCTGCAAAGGGATACCCGCAGTTCCTGCATTATTCTCCTTTAAAGGAGAAATCCATGATTTTTCTGCTTAAAAAGGAGAAAAATCAGGCTTTTTCTGCAGCAAACAGAAAAGTCAGATCCCCACTTATCAGAAAGACCAACTGTCCCTACGATTCTTTCATACACCCTTTTAAGGTCCATTGGAGGTGATGGAAAACAAATGACATCTATTGGAAAGGGATGGCTAATCAAATTGTATGAATTATCTAGGATTTATATAGGCTTTCTATTTAAGGCCTTTTCTTCAGTAAATATGCCAACATATCATAGAACGTGGCTAAAACTAGGATGTCCCTTAACCTCATTATAAATATAGTTCCAATGTATATGTTGACCAGAAAATTGAGTGCCAACAGGACTTTGACCAATCTCAAGTGGTCTACCTTAACTAAATTATACAGTTTTCAGTGTGTGTATATCAATAAAGTCATGCTCAGTATTCACTTAAATCTATAAGGAAATGATCATATTGTACATAAATAAGTTATTTTGGCATGTCCATTTATACTTGCTAAAGAAATCATTTCTCCTTTAGGGCAATGTATACATCAAGTATGAAATTTAAAATGCAGCTATTTAAGTTTAAGTACTGACAAGAAGTTAAATAATACCACCCCTTCAAACTCAGATCAACCTCAGACACTTAACAGACTTTCTTCCAACTTTTGGCAGAAAACCTCTAACTTTTACAATGACAAACTATGATGTCCAAGATGAGAGAAATCATGAGGAATTTAAAACCAAAAAGTAGTATTTTGAGAAAAATGCCTAAAAATACGTGGTTTTTTGAAGCAAAATACTATTAACATTAAAATTATGAATGACAGATTCTGAAACGGAGAAAATTAGGCCAGGCAACCTTGCCAATAATGAAATATGCATTCTGTGCCCATACTCACTCTTTTGATTCTCGAGTCTTCTTGGTAACATGTTGGACAAGAGTGTCATAGCCAGATACCTCACCCTGATTTTGAGCAGAGGTACATTTTTCAGTTTCATCTTCAATCACAGAGCTTAGTGTGTTACTTATGTATTGTCGAAGATATTTCACAAACTCATAGCTGCAACAAATACACAAAAATTAGAATAATGCATTATATTATGTTTAAACTGTAAATGACTTCAGCACTGCATATGTAATTTACTCCCATCAGCCTCATCCCTTTAAGAGCTAACATTTTTAACATTTAGAGAGAAGTTATTCAATTGACTGGGGAGGAAAGATATCAATCCGTGAATTTTGATTTCCCTGTCTTTAGAATAATGTTAGCCCTTTTATATAATAGCGAATGGGCGGATACCCAACTCCCCTTTGTGCCTTTGAAAATCTTCCCTTAAACACAAAGAGCTATCCTGACACACAGTTAAGTTCCCATAGTCAACCTGCCCTCAAAAAGACCAGAAACTCCAAAATCAAGATTCCAACAGAAATAGCTGTTGTTTCAAGGTATATTTTATATAACACTAGTAACATTATATCTAAGCTACATACATAATGAAAAGGCTTGTATAGGAAACGGCACCTGTGCTACATAACTGAGTAACATTGTTGCTGAAACCTTGGTGTTTTTTTTCTGCCTGGGTGACTTTAGCATTGCACTCTCACTATCGAGTTTAATATCATATGTTTAAATTTCTAAGATTTGTCAAAGAAAATATTTGAATTTGTTTTACAAACTCTTCCAGCAGAAGGACATCTTTAAAATACTATTTAAGCCAGTGAGACATAAATGGCTCTTTACTGAATCAGGGCTGTAAAGTGACATACCTATGCTGGCATGTGCTTATACTTAAGAAAATGTTCCCCTTTATATTTTTAATATGAAAATTTCATACAAGTCATTTTTGTTATCAACTATTTTAGGAGGAATTCTTTACATTGGTTGTCTTCCTCTTCCATTTTTGTTTCTTATTTTACTTTCAGTACTCAGAGGGAACATGATTACACCTCAAAGAACATGCAATTTCTCATCTCCTCCTTCAATTGCCTGTTAGGCTACCACAAGCAGTATTATTGCTATAATGCAATAGTACTGTGACACTCTGACATGTGAAAGCTTTCATAAAACATTTTCCTCTATTTGCTTTAGGAGTGGGACACTTGCAGAATATATATTTTTCCAATAACTGTCTCATTCTTATATTTTTAGATTTTTGCAGAAAAAAGATTGCAAAGAAAGACTACATACATATAGAGAAGCTATAATGTATTGTCCAGTTACACTATTACACTGTTCTTTGTAGTATTTTGGCATTTTTTGTAATGGTTTGTAACACACGAATGGAAAGGTCTAATTTCTGCAGAGCTGCTTCTCTGTGTCCAAGATACCTACAAATGCCAACCAAGAACTGTGCATTTGGTACTCCACAAGCCTAAATAAACTGAAAGATAATCATATAAACATAATAAATGCCCCATGCTTTTCTATTTCAAGGAAGGAACCTAGAGTAAGAGTGTTATCAAAATTTAAAGGTGCTAGGAAAATAAAATGTGTCCATGGCATATTGCCATCTGAAAGCCAATCTTATCAAGGATCTCTGGATCAGGGTATACAAGATGTACCTTGACCTGCCCACAGCACAGCAACTTTGAAGCATACTCTTTATCAATCATCACTATACATCCTAAGTGAAATATATGAAACGTTTAAAACTGATCAGAAAGAAACTGCAGAGTATATTTAATTCTAAACAGTGTAACACAAGTAGTGGTGAACCGCTATAGTAGCATTTAGTTGAACGGTTTCTGAGTTAAAGGAGCAGAAGACCAGTAAACAGCCCTAGATAATCAAGTCTCACTTTTGTCAACTCCAAGACAGAAACAGATTCAAACTGGGTTTTCCCAAAGCCAAGGGCATTTCTAGACCTCACGCCCTGCCTCTGTCTCCTTGAGCATGAGAAGAAAGTATTACAATGTGCTTCTTGTAACATTTGTTATACCTTTTTTAAAAAGTCTCTGTTGAGTTTTCCTCAATAGGAAAGTAACACATTTCTGAAGAAACACTGTTGGCTTCTGGCAACAGTGGAAAATTCAATTATGTGTTTTGTACTGTGTGAGTTATCTTACTCTAACAAAAGTGTGTTATTTTCCAGAAATAAAAAGTCCTTTTAACACTTACATTTTTGTAGCCACTTCTTTTATGCTAGTGTTCGGTATCAATTATCTAGTATTCGATTTGTGTGTTTGTCAAAACTTTAAAATGTCCCTAACGTGTATTATAAAACAGCTAAACATGAACTGAAATATACTGAAAGGAAGAAAATGCCTTTTAAGATCTAAAAATCAGAACACCATCTTCTGCAGGAGAAATAAGAACCCTAAAACCCTAGTCTTAATTCAATTGTGTGTCACTTCATAAAGGTAAATGGCTTCTCTGAGACTTCATAAATGTGTCCTAGCATCTGCCATATAGTAAAGCACACTCAAATACCTAAAGGCCTGAGAATAAAACCTTTGCAATAACATGTTTGTGCAACAGAAGTGAAACAAGAAAAGCAGAATACGGGCTCATAAGTTTCTGAACAAAGTACACATCAAACTATACGATTTGAAGGGGGCTAGATGGGCATCAGATCAAACTCTTGAAGGAATGCTACTCCGAAACCACCTCTGACCAGTGTTCATACAGCCACATCTTGAAATTCTCTAGGAAATTCCACAACTTCCCTGGGCCTTACTATACTAACAGTAAAAAAGTTTTTCCTGAGTTCTAATCTAAGTATACTTTGCTGCAATTTAAAGCCACCATGTTGTGTCCTGCAGCAGGAAAAAACAATTGTTCTCCTTTGTTACGAGAGCCTTACATATATTTGAAAACTAATTTTCTCCCAGTCTTCTCTTCTGCAAGCTAAAAGTACCTAGTTCTCTCAACCTTCCCCCATACATCTTGCCTTCTAACCCATTTATCATCTGGGCTCTCTCCAACTTCTCTGCATCCTTTTTAAAATGCAGAGTCCAGAACTGCATGATCCTCTAGGTCAGAAGTGGTCAACCTGCAGCATAACTACCGTAAGAGGCATGTGCAGCCTCCGTATGTGGCGTGTGACAGATGAGGGGAACAATATGTAGCACAGAGGCAGAAAGGGCAGGGAACAGAAAGGAGAGCAATGGATTGTACAGGGAAGGGACTGGAGTAGCACTTGGGGCGGGTGCAGGGCTAATTTGTGGTACTTTTCCAAAAGGTTGGCCCCCACTACTCTAGATAAGGACTAACCAGAATTGAGTAAAAGGGTTCCTTTACCACCTTCCATGTCTCGCATCCCAAACTCTTGATGATGCAATCCATAGTTACACTGCTCTTCTTGGCTAGGGACAGACATTCAAAAAGCCTGAGCCTGAATTGATTCAATCTTGGCAGGTTACTCTAGCCTGGCTAGGCTAAACTAGTTTATAACCATACAGACATCCCCTCTGGACTAAAAAAAAACACAAGCACATGCCTGCAGTAGCTCAGGCTAGAAGCTGGGGTGGGGGGGGCGCTAAAGGAGCTCTCCCTTCCCTTCTACAGTCCTGAGCTGAGAGGAGGGACATGGCCCCGGAAGGACGTTCTGATAAGGGCGCGCCCCTCCCTCCTATTGATAGCAGAGCATTTAGCTACGTAGCAGGGAGTTACACAGGGAGTTATTAGCATTTATCAGCCCAGCAAACGATACAAAGCCTCTCTCATTAGTTCAAGCTCTTGTTAAACAGCTTTTTCCAAGGAAGGAATGCAGGGACATTACCAGCTACCTGCTGAATAGTTCCAAAAAGCCCTGAACTGACACTGTCTTGTCTGCCTTTATGCGATCTCCCACAGCATGGATTGTAGCCAGCATGTGGCATGCTAGCTAATGCTGAGAGGTGTCGCAGAGGGGAGAACAGAGCCCTGCCCAGAGTTGCAAAGCATGTGGGATGCTGGGGGACTCTGGTTTAAGTTAAACTAGGAAGGGATCTGGGACAGACATTGCATAAACCAGTTTGACCCAAACCAGTTGAGTCTGATATTACATGCACATTCAACCAGGTTTATCTCAAACTGGTTTCAGCCATTTTCAAGCCAGAATTCCCTCTAAGCTGCATGGTGTGCGCAGCTGCACAGGTGAGCTCATGCCGTGCTGCCAGGCGCGCCTGCGTGGCCGCACACACCACACAGCTTAGAGGGAACACTGGTTCAAACTGGTTTATGTGCACTGAACATCTGTTCTGTTACATGTTTGAATCAGTTTCTGATTACTTAAACCGGTTTATGTGTAATGTCTGTCCCTAGTCCTTCTGACTCTATCACACTGCTGACTTATGTTGTCTATGACCCACCAAAACCTGTAGATCTCCCAGAAATGAATCCACCCAACCAGTTATTCACCTCTCATTTTGTATTTTTATATTTGTTTATTCTTCCTTAGGTGCAGCACTTCACATTATCTACACTGAGATTCATTTTGTTGCCTCTAGCCCAGCTCTCCAATCTATCAAGGGTCTATTCCCATCCTCCAAAGTATCTGCAATCCTCCCCATTTTCATGCTTTTTGCAAACTTGATCAGAAGGCTGTCTTCCAGCATCCAAACCATTAATAAGCATTGTGACAGGGGGCCATCTCCCAGGCCCGGTCAGAGTACCAGCCCGCCCACCTGTCTTAGCCAGCCTACCCAGTCTTACCTGCCATGCCTTGTTGTTACTGTAATGGTTGTAATAAAATGGGAGGCTGCCCATTTAAGACCCTGCTGTCTAGAGGTGCACCCATGACTCCAACCTTCCTTATCGTGTCCCATGCCTTGCAGATGGCATCCCCGAGTTGCTTTTTACTCCAGCTTGTGGCTGGAACAAACTCAGGCCCTTCCTTGGCCTCATTCATTCGTCCTTGCACTCCACCCCATTAGGCCTCATTCATACTGCCTCCCTCTCACTGGGGCCTCTTGCACTCTGCCCTCTCACCAGGACTCTTACATGGTGCTCCTCAGTGAGCCACACTCAAACTGCCCTGCACCCTTGTGCAACCATGTAGGCCATCAGGCTTGCCTACTCACACTTCTTGACTGGTCCTGGCGCAGCCTTTCGGGCTTTTCCCATGACCCTCATCTGAACGGTGACCAGCCAATTCACTTAACACTGGGCTGACCCTGCCCCTAGCCCCTCACCAGGTTACTTAATTTCACACCCTGATTAGAGCCAATTATTCGCCCCCTCGGCCTTGGACCTACTTGTGGCCTCAGGCATCTAAGGGCTTACCTGGGCCCAGCTTCCCCTTTCCTGGGGCTTCAACACATGCCCGCTCTCTCACTGGGGCCACAACATCCCCCGCCCCTCTCTGGGGTCCACACTCTGCCCCTATTCTGGGGCTACAGGGTATTGTACCCCCACAGGCCCAGGTGCTTCTCTACAGGCATTCTTGGCCCCACTTCTCCCAGGGTCTTACACCCCCACAGGCTCAGGTGCCCCGCCCTGGGCACGCCTGGCCCCACTATCGCCTGGGGTCTTACACCCCCACGGGCTCATATGCCTCTGCCTAGGCATACCTGGCCCTCCTTCCCTCTGATCTCAATGACCCACCAGATGGTGGGGGCTAGGTTTATCAGGCACCCGTACCCACCTTTCACTGGGGAGGTAACCCACCAGGGACAGCCCCACAAGACCACCCTTCCGTGTCAGAGTGCAGCTCTCGGTCTTACCCAGGGCAGGTAAGCCTGCTTAGTCCTGGTTTCATCCCTATTGGGCTATGGGGTGTTCCTGGGCTGCTCTCACTCCTAGGTCTTCTATGGCAGCCTCCTCCTGCTGCCTGCTACCTTCATAGCAGCATGCTTTCTGCTACCTTCATAGCCTTTACCCTCTGCTGGCTGTGAAGTTCTCCCCCTCAAGAGGACCTTTCATCTGTTTGAGGCCCTGGCCCTGCCTCCAGGCCAGTTGGGTTGCCAGATAGCTTTCTGCAGCCCTGGCCTGCCCCTTGCGGTGGGCTCAGTCACCCTTCGGCTTTTCGGCCCTGGCCCCCTTACATTGACTAGTCGAGGAATCAGATAACTAGCCTCTGCTGCCCTCTGTGGAACACAGGGGTCCCCCTTCCGGGCCCCAGCATATGGTCATCTCCCTTTGGATTTGCTTAGAGCCCTGAAGATCTTAATAGAGCAGCCCTTCTCTCAACTGGACTCACCTGAGCCCTAGGCCAGCTCTTATCAGGGGCTTGCCTAGCCCCTATGCAGGCTGAGCCTTGCTGTTACTAAGCCCTAGCCTGCTTCCTGGGGCTCAGAACCCCACCAGGCGCATAGGAACCTCCTGCCATCCCCAAAGCTCCTTCCCTACCTCCATGGTGTTTTGTGAACAGCAGCTCAGCCAAGTGTTGTTGCTTTGGCTGCTTGCAGCAAACTACTACCTCAGCCCTGAGAACACAGATCTAAAATGACCGCCTTATCATGGCTGGCCTGCACCTGCCAGCTACCTGCTCTCAGACCTTGAAGTGACAGAACACCATGCTCCATCACAAGCATGTGAAACAGCACCAAAAACAAAGACACATATAGGGCATCTTTACATGTGCTCCGGGGTGGGGGGGAGGGCACACTTTAATTAGTGCAGCTCTCAGGAGCTGCACTAATTAAAGCGCCAGCAGCATCTTGTGTATTCAGCATCCCACACTTCAAAATGCCAGCAGGGCTGCTCTAACTAAAGCTTCTTCAACAAACTTTAGTTAAAGCACCCTGCCCACTTTGAAGCATGGGGATGCTGCATATACATGATGCTCAGGCTCCTGCAGCGTGCTAATTAGCATGCTCCAGCAGGCTCAATTAATTGAGTCTGCTCTAATACATGCTAACTGGCATGCATCAGAGCAGGTATCTGGCATATGGCAGGTACCCATAAAGAGCCCTACCTAAAACCTTCTGCCATTGATCCATATATATAATTAGTAGCATTTCATTTTAAATCACAGAAAAAGGTGGATTTGGGGTTACTTTTCTTAATCTGAAAATTTGGGGCTGTGGAGGATGGGAGTTTATCAGAGAAAACCAGGATCCCTGATCATTACACTCAGCCTTTCCCTCTCTTCTTCTACATTATTTTTGTTAGCTGTCTGGCTGCAGCATTTACTGTTGTTGATTTTATTTTTTTGTGAAGAGGCAAAATAGCTGTTGAGCAGCTCTGCGTTTTTAAGTCTTCTTTTAATAGCTCACCCTAGCTACCAAGCAGCAGACCCATGGCTTCTTTGGCCTGTCTTCTTTGACCAGTGAACTTAAAGAATCCTTTCTTATTGCCCTTATATTCCCTCACCAGGCACAACTATTTTTTTTTCCACCTTTGCTTTCCTGATTTGGTTTCGGTGGCTGTCCAGACAAGTGCAGCTATGCAGTATGTGGTACCGCTAACCTGCCTGTTGCACCACACACTGCACGTTCAGGTGTTTCTCAAGCTGCTCCCAGGAAATGCTAATATTGCCAGGCATCCTTCAACTAGAACTTCTCTTGGTTCATGTTTGGCTGTGGAACTTTATCAGAGCCAGCTACACTTACTTAATTAAAAGCAGTTTACTCTACTAAAGTTACTGCCAAAGTGAGGTGCTATCAACAATGGAAAGAAAATAAGACCTGGTAAAATTTAGTTTCTTAAGTCTCTAAATTAATATGCCTCCAGATTTTATCAGCCACAGGTAAGTATTTTCTAAATACATAAAATCAATACAAATACTAAACATTCTTACCTCCACAGAACACTTGACAGCACTTAACTCACTCTAAAAAATGAAAATGACAAAAATATTTACTTGTGAAAATTTTCGTCGGTTTCCTCCAAATGTAAAAGAATCTCTTCTGCACATTCTACCGATGGTGCTCCTGCAATTTTTTCCTTTACACTGTGCAGCAACTGTCTGAGCATGGATTGCAAGACAGCTTCATCCTCACATGTGAAATGAGACATCTGTATGAAATAGATATGAAAGTACAATCATTGTACAGTTCCAGTTCTTGTTTCTTTAAGATGCTAAAGCCAGGTGGTAACTACATGAGGGATTTATACTTTTTCTCTCCTGGTTATGGACATAATGGAAGTACAATTTACCAAAAATGATCAAACATTCACAAAGAGAATAGATATGGCAGAGCCTGCCAACATAACTGAGAAGCAAGATGAAATAGTTTTAAATATGTTAATTAAAACTATGTTAATTAACGTGAGGTTTTGTGTGGAGATCTTTGTATCAGATTTGGGTGTCCTAATTTTGGTTTAAGTAGATCTAAAGTAGGACACCCTTAATCCCACGTGAGGACGTCCCCACACACACTTGTAAAAATCTACTAAGGATGTGAATTACAACCAAATTCATAATCCCGATTCCAATCTGTATGCTGACAAGATCTCCAATCAGACGACTAAACACGCCAGATTAGGAGAAGAATAGGTTCTTATCATTAAGGTCTAGTAGTAATAACTCGATAAGAAGGGATCCTGGTTTTCTATGATAAAAAAAAAAATCCCCAATTGTTGGATGTAAAAAAAGAGTATCCCAAAATCCACATTTTTCCATGATTAAAATGAAACACCACTATATGTATGTATGTACATACATATATCAGATTTGGGTTGTATCAGATTTGGGTTACATGTATATAGTGGTGTTTCATTTTAATCACGGAAAAATGTAGATTTTGGGTTACTTTTTTAAAATCCAACAATTGGGGATTTTTCAACAGAGAAAGCCAGGAATTCCTGTTAATGAGACACTTAAAAAACTCTGCCACCAACACAAGCAAGTTTAAAAATGAAAGCATTGGGAATCTTCCCTGACATTCTCACGAGCCTATTCATATTCCCTTAATATAAAAGTCTCCAATTAACAGGGACAACCCTCTCCCCTTCCAACTTTAGATGCTCCACTACAGAGCTTTCACACTTTCCTAGAACTTTTACCATTCAGACATCCTTCCTCAAGTTCTGATTTCTCAATTCCTCTCCTTCAGAATAGATCCATTCCTTTAGCTAGTTGCATAGCTTTCCAATGCAACAGGAAAAGAAGGAAATTAATATGATTCTTTACTGCCATATGTTTTCCAGCAAAGTCAGGTGACAAAAAGACTTGTCAAATTCACCCTGCAGATAGGGGGAAAGCACCATGTGCCAACAGTGAAGCACCTATGCCGGTCTACCAAATCAGAGGATATCAGTGAATCAGTTCACAAGTTGTTGTTTTTTGTGGGGGTTCTGCAGGGGGGGTGGCAGTGTTGTGGAGAGCTTTCAGTCAGCCATAGTTAATGGGCTTGGTTTCCTCACTTGCCAACAAATGTTTCTTGCTACCCAGGGACGAGTACATTTTTCATGATCCATATGGGAAAAGAGGTTTGTTTGCTGTTGTTTTTTGTTTAATTTGACAAAAAAAAAAAAAGAGAGAATAAAAATCATCCTATCAGTCCAAACATGTGAGTACATGCAAAGAGATGACAAGTAAAATTAGAATATAAGCAAAATAACAGCCAAGGACCACAACCAACTCTATTAATAAATCCAAGGAAAAGCCCAATGCAATTTAAAGACCAACCCTCTTCATAAGTTAACTAACAGAAAGAAACAAATAGTTACTAACACAGAACAACTCTGAAAACAAACCAGGTATTTATCCCATGTTATATATACTTTTATATTTCAAAGTAACAAGAGTGGCAAATTATCATTCCCTAGCGTTTGCTACTGTCATACTTAACTCACTTCATGGTTTGTTATTCTAGTAAGCATTATTTTTAATTGGCTTAGCATTTCCCCGTTGCAAAACACCATTCTTGCTGAACAATGCTTCATTTCGATCAAAAACCATTCAAAATTAACTCAATCTTCTTTCTACTATAAGCCTGCCAGAAATTAATATTGAATTCAGTCTGAGCACCCATGCAGCACTCTCTCAACTCCATGTTGTAGTATTTTTTTAAAAAACTTCAGTCTCTAGAAATTTAATCTAACTCAATGCATTTCAGAAAGATACACCCTTGTGTCTAATTGCTGTTTATCTCACCACCGAACCCTAACACTTTCATAACAGCTGTTTAACAATTTTTTTTAAATAAATGGAGATCTTACAAATAGTTAAGCATTAAGAGTACTGGTTAACAGGAACAGGCATTTACAATGCAAAGTGTTTCTTGAAAGCAAACTAGAGGCAATACCGTGCAGTACTTATGACTTATTTTTATGAAGCCACTTGGCTTAAATGAAAGGATTTTACCATCCTTTTTAAAAATCGCCTTTCAATTGCCCTTGCTTCCAGTCTTCCTTTCCTACTTCCCCCACTCACTAAAAAACACTGAGGACCCTGCTACACATTCAAATCAAAGCAGGAAAGAAACCAGCTGTAGTCATTACACATTTTCAAGCACTAACATTATAGCAAGTTGCCTCTTTTTATAACTAGACAGGCACACGCTAAAAATGACTATTACTTTGCTCACATGGCTGGTTTACTTTTCTATGCTTATGATACAGGAACTGCTGGGAGCAAAGCCAGAGGCTCCTGGATAGAGAGTCTTGCGCTCCACTCAGGATCAAACTGATTGCCATGACTGGGGTTGAGGAAGGAATTTCACCCCATGGTCACATTGGAAGGTTTTGCCTTCCTCCATAGCAGGGAGCTTGGCCCTCTAATCGGGACCTCTTTAGCATTTATTGACAACATTTTATAGAAGCAGGACATAGGGGAGCTACAGCAGCCAACTTTAACATTGGCAAATCAGGGTGCTAGGCCTGTATTGTATCAGGGTTGGTGGTCGATTTATATCGAGTTTGATTGTAAAGGATGGTTTGGCTAGGATGGATATGACCTCTGGAGGTCCCTTCCAGGCCTGCTTCTCTATGATTCTTTGACCTCCTCAGGTGAGGTCAGTTGAGATGCCATAGACTTGGCAAAATGATCCCTGTAGGCAGACTCCTTATTCTGAGCTACCAGGGTCTTAAAGGAGATGCATACCCAAGAGAAATTGAGGGGCATTTTGACAACTGACCATGAAGATCCTCAACTCCACTGCCACACCAACTCTTTAGATCCACACCCCATCCACATCCCACCAGCATTGGTGACGGAGCAGCTTGCAATAAGAAACCCAGTGGTCTGAGGGAAGTGATTATTCCCCTCTATTCAGCACTGGTGAGGCCACATCTGGAGTAGTGTCCAGTTTGGGCCCCCCACTACAGAAAGGATGTGGACAAATTGGAGAGAGTCCAGCAGAGGGCAGCTAAAATGGTGAGGTGGCTGGGGCACATGACTGATGAGGAGAGGCTGAGGGAACTGGGCTTATTTAGTCTAGAGAAGACTGAAAGGGTATTTAATAGCAGTACTGAACTACCTGAAGTGGGGTTCAAAAGAAGATGGAGCTGGTCTGTCCTCAGTGGTGGCAGATGACAGAACAAGAAGCAACGGTCCCAAGTTGCAGCAAGGGAAGGTTAGGTCAGATATTGGGAAAAAAATTTCTCCCTAGGAGGGCACTAGGAGAACAAGTTACCCAGAGGGGAGGTGGAAGCTCCATCCTCAGAGGTTTTCAAAATCCAGCTAGACAAAGCTTTGGCTGGGATGAGCTAGTTGGGGACGGTCCTGCTTTGAGCAGGGGGTTGGACTAGATGACCTCCACAAGTCCCTTCCAACCTGAACTTTCTATGACTGTAGGAACCCGCTGGATTAAAGAAAATGAAAAGAAGAAAAAAAAAAGAGACCTCTCCCCTTCTCCCTATCCCTTCCCCCCTCCCGCCCCCCAACATCTTTAAAAAGCTGCTCCCACCATCCATCCTGGGAAGCAAACCCTCCAGGCACACTGCAGCCCAGCTGTCCCAGACCCACCCACAGGGAAGGGCAAGACCCCAACACCCCCCCTTGCTTCTGGAGTCAACGGATCCGAATAAAAGAAAGAGGCTTTAATTAAAAAAAATTAAACCCCAAGCTGACTCTCCCCCTCCTCCCCACTACAGCTCCAGCACTGGCTGCCTCTGCTTGGGGGAACCCTGGGGCGGCGAGGAGGGACTATGAGCGGGGCGGTCTCCTCACACGCAGCACGATGCGAGCCCCACACGCGCACACCCCCACCCACGCAGACAGCCGCACACGCAGCCCCCCTCCCCCCCATTGCCAAGCGCGCGGGGCAGCGTCACCTTGCGGCGTCGGCGGCGACAACCCGGAGCTCTGCTCCGCGTAGTGCCTAGCAACGGGTGGCGCCGGTCGCGCGACATCCGGGAAACGTCGAGAGAGGCGGCGACAGCAGCAACCGGAACCCGCCCCCCCACGGGCCTTAGCAACCAGCGCCGCTGATCTCGCGGCGTCCAGGAAACATCGCGAGAAGTCATCCCGAAGCCCGCCCCGCCCGAGGGTTCTCGTTGTGTAAAAAGCGGGCAGTGACGTCATGTTCTTGTGCAGAGAAACTGTCGTGCCTTTCCGCCGGGCTGCTCCAGGGTCCGTCTCCCTGGCTCCTAGTGAGAGGCCGCGTGTAGCCAGCTCTCGTCCTGTGTGGGGGCCCCGTTATGACGGAAAGTGAATCCCTGAGTCGTGAATCAGTTGATCTTTCATTGCATCTCACCATGTTTTGTCCACAACACCTGACGTGAGGTCTGGCAGACAAGGTGCCTGCGCCTTCTGTGTAAGCAGGGATCCAACAGCGAGATAGAGGGAACAGCTAGACACTGAAATATGAATTATGGATATGAACTGTTTCATAGGCATATGGCATAGGAAATGTGGACCATCCATATGAATATGAAATACGACTTTTCATTTCCACCTGGGGGAAGTTTTACAGGTTTTGGACTCTCATATGTCTGAGGAAGGATACGTGTGCCCAAAAGCTTGTGAATAATGAAAAATTGTTGCAACGACCTTGTTGGTCTAATCTAAGATAGCACCTCCCCCCCACAAGAGTTCTGATCACCTTAGACACTGACGTTCGTGTCTCAAACTTTCCTGTCTGCTGAGTGGGGTTCGAGTTGCTCTTGGACCCACAATCAGCCATTGTAACATCCTTGATCAAGTCCAAAAAACAAGTTGTTTTCCCTTGACTATTGCTTGTAAGGCAGGGCCCTGCCCACAGCCACTTATTTAGTTATTTAGCGAATGCAAATCCACAAAGCCAAGCGAGAGTTAGCTGAGTTCAAAGTTATTAATCCACTTCTTCGTTTGTAGAGGGGACACTCCTTGGTGATGTGCGGCATTGCTTGTATCTCTCCACAAGTGCACGATGGGTTATCATTGAGGCCCCAGCAGTGAAGGCTGGCTGCGCAGGGGCCTTGGCCTGTTTAGCAAGGACTACTCTTGCCGTGGTAGTTCAAAGCCTGTTAACAGCTCAAAGAGTGGGGTTTGTCACAAGGAAATTGTTTGTGACTTCCTGTGATTCCCATTCCTTGATCCAGAGGGCAACCTTCAGCCACTGGTACCAAAGAATAGCCCTGTGTTGGCCCTACCTTCAGGCTGTGACTAGCAGCAACAGCCCAGTTTCTCAAAAGCTTTCCTGGTCCTAGCCAGGCTCCTATCACACAGAGAATGGTAGCTCTATTTTTCTGTTCTGTTCAGACAGCAGCCAAGCTGCATTCTCCTGTTTTCACCCCTTCCTTACACCGACTGCAATAGTAGTTAGGCAGTGCAGTTCAGTCACCAGCAGCTCATTAAAATTCTCCTGACCGCACATCCCATCACACCATCCCCTTTCAGGCAGTACCTGGGTACTGCTAGCAAGTGTCAGCTCTCGTACAGCAAGGAAAAGTCTGGATTGTAGTGTATTCTTCCCATCCTATGTTATATCTTAACTGAGCATTGCTGGAAGGATAGGATTCACCACTTCGTTTAGGCATTTTTGATTTTCATAGCATTGAGCTATTGCAAGGGGTAGGAGATGGGGCTGATCGGGAGGTAATGGCAGCATGCATCCCCAGGACACTTTATGGCTAAGCTTTGCTTCACAATGACATAATATGCTATTTTTCAAGAAATAAATTCCAGCCAACATATCGTAATGGCTGTTCCTCCCCATTGAACTCTGACAATAAAAGAACCCTATTTTTAGTTTATAGGAGCATAAACTCCTCTGAGAAGTTCAGAGTCTATAGGACTGGTTGTTTATGCATTCAGTCTCTTACAGCTACATCGAAAGGATGGACTTTAGGCATTCAAGTCTGAACTGTATCCCATCATCCTCCGCTTTGCGGGTGCGTCTATACATGAATGAATGTGTCTTTTCTAATCTGCATTAAATTTAGTACTTCCAATAGGACGTATTAAATGTGTGTTATTTGCACACTTTTTTAGTGACACAATGTGAAGTAGACATTTTACTGTGCATTAGCATGATGTCACGGTTTTTTTACATGACACTTTAATGCGCAGTAAAATAGTCTACAGCACATTAAAGCACATGTGTAGACATGCCCAGCAATCACATAACCATGAAAGCATCTTGCTGTTTGACCTCAAAATTCCATTGGCACCTGTATTCTGCTTCCCATGGCCAGAGCTGCCCTAGACTAAGCAGTTCATTTCGTATCTTGCATCAAAGCGTGATTGGATCAAAAAACTAAGTAGAGTGGCACTAAGTCCCTGAGAGTCCTGATCTGGCGAACATGCTCTGAACAAATCTAATTCAAACCAGCCAGCCTGGGACCTTCACAAAATGTAGCTTTGTAACCACTTGCTTTTTTAAAGCAAGTGATAAGAGCACTTGACCAGGGAAAGGTAGACCCAGGCTTGAGACTGGAGTGGTTTCAACCTATATCTGCTAGCACCCAGGACAGTGGCCAATTCCTCACCCCAAGACTACAAACTATTGAGGGCAGGCACACCCTCACCTGTGAGGTGAAACCCTCAGTTCCCAGTCTTTGCACCCAGGATTACTTTTGTATTTTTGTATTTTATCCTATAACTGTTTAATGTAAAATACAGTAACAGAAATGGGAGCAGGGAACAGAGGCCAGAACCCATGGTTCCCCCCACCTCTCAGCTGAGTATTCTAGGTGACAATATTGAGTAGTACCCCATGGCACCCTTAAAAGTATGTTGCGTCACCCTGGTTGAGTGTGGCTCTATATGCATTTATTTAAGCTGTTATGTTGCTTAATATTTTAAGATTCTTATTAATGCTACATTTCAGTGTGCCAGAAAATGATGAATGGTATATTGCTTATAGTCCCGTCATAGGATCAAGCCTTTAATATTGCACATGACCTAATTGCCAATATTCTTAACGCTTGCTCTCCAAAGGTAGATGCTGTCACCAAGTCACAGTCGTCACCTGCGAGAAGCTAATAAGTCTTGGTGACTGGGTAGTTCCAGGTCTCTGGCCAGGTAAAGATTGGGTTCAATCTTTCCTCCAGGAAAGACTGTTCCTGCCCTCGCTTAACCTTGCCTACTACAACTTTGATAAAAAAAATAGTACAGAGTGATGTTCAGTCTGAGAACAGTCAATCTTTGGTCTAGGAAGGAGTACCAAGAATGATCCTAGCCTTGTGCAGCACTTTATCCTTTGGGATCAGCTGACTGGCCTTAAGGGCCAAGTTTTGGGAGCTCCTCCAAGCCCTACACTCCTGCCTTTTACCTTCAGTTATTTCATTACTTAAAGTCCTATCTGCACCCAGCCTTGTTGCTGTAGGTGCAAGATTTAGCTCCTGGGATACCCGAGAGTCCATCCTTTATAAGAATAAATAAAAGTGAGCAGCTCAGCTACTCTTCACCCATCCAGTGCTTGGCCAGCTCTGATGTTCGCTCACCACCAAACCTTAGTTCCTGGGGTTTACTGGGCTCTCCCACCAGCTCTCTGCTCCAATCAGGTGTGATCTTGGCTGCACAGCTGAGGCTTGTGATCCCTGCAGGGGAAACAGCTGAACCTTGGTCAGCTGGCTCCTGTCCCAATCACAAAGCTGGTGCGGGGTTCTGGCCCTGGTCCCTCTCAGAATACTGACTCATGTTGGCATCGGGCACCACTGTCAGCCTCGCTCCTCGTGAGGCTTCCCAGCTCAGCCAGAGCTGGGAAAGATACTCACTCCGGCTGTCCTGACTCCATGCCAGTCCGAGAATCCTGGTAAATTCTGGGCACTCACAGGATTCGGGTCAGGGTGCAAGTGGGGACTTTCTTCTCTTTTCTTTACCAGCTCTGCCACAGATGCATTTCCACATTTCCCTCCATAATTTTGCTAACAAAAGTAGGAGTTTTACCAAATTCTGTCTATAAGATTGTTCTTTAAAAGAGTGGCCAGGGCCTCAAGTTTCCCCGAAAGTTTAAATTCTCTATCCTGAGACTTTCTTCCTCTCACATTTCTATACTAGCTCTAAAATACCTCAAGGCTATTTCCAAAGGAGTGACAGGGAGAGAAACCTATCAACCATTGGAGACCCATCCGTTCAGCAAATAATTAGGGTGGAGTATTCAGTCCTAATGCCAAGTACTTGAGGCCAGGGTGCTCTGAGAGTTAAAAAAGAGTCAGATTAAAGCACTCAGCAAGATGTTTGGCAGTGGAACAAGAAAGAAGGTCCAGAGGGTTTTATTTTGTAATAAACTGTCAGCATAACTGTCAACAGTGACAAAATTTGTCGATCGGTCAGTTAAGGTCTCATAGAAAAAGCCTTTATCTCAGTGGTTCCCAACCTTTTTTTGCTGTGACCCACTGCTAGGAGCAGAGTGCAGTGGCAGCCGGGGGCAGGGGAGCTCCCAGCACATGGCGCAGATCATCCTTTATGTGCGGCACTGCCAGCATTGCCCCCGTGACCCTCATTTGGGTCGTGACCAGAGGCTGGAAATCACTGCTTTAGCTGCTCAATATCCATGGCCTTAGAGTAAGCAGAGCATAAAGGAATTGATTCAGAGTACTGGGTGAAATAATTTAGCAACACCAAAATATGTTGAACCTAGAGCATTTCTCTACCCCTGTTTATGCAAAGGTAGTGTATACCAAAGAAAAGGAGTAACAGAGTGATTGAATATGCTCCAGAAACAAACTGACATTTCAAACAAGAAACAGAGAAGTCATTGCTTCCATATAAACCCCAGGCTAAAAGAAATAGGCCAGCACTCTGCTATGTGTTTTCTACTTGCTTATGTGCCCCATAAATGTTATAGCCAAACATGAGACTTCTTAATGACATGCCAGTAGTAGGAAATGTACACAAATAATATGCCCTATTACTTTTGCAATCACAGTGGCTGCTTCATCCTAAGTTTGGATCAACATCTGTATTGTTGAATCATACAGGTGGATCACCCTGTTAAAGGACCCTTCTTTCTGCATAG